GATCAGGAATGACTTGGAGGGGCAGACAGACTTGTTCCTCTGGATAACCCAGCCCCCAAGGCAGAAAAGCAGAATAAAAATGGAGACAGGATTTGGGAAAAGAGGTGGATGCACCAAGTGTTTACAGTAACAACATGGCCTGCTGCCTGCCACTGTCCCATTAAGGGCCTGCTTCCTAGGGAGGCATGATCAGGAAGGAAAAGCTCTCCACTTGGATGCTGGGAAGGTCCAGCAGAAGTGTACATCCCTCCAGCCCATGTGGCAGATTTGTTTCCTTGGCAGGAAACCATCAGTGCTCTTAACTTTCGCTTCCTGCTCCCTGTGCTAAGGGATATTTAGAAAAAGTGGTTTGTCACCACTTGGCGTGGCCGGGTGGCTTTTTTCTTCTCGTTCCCCTGCACAACCTCTGTGCTCCCCATCAGTGGTTGTTTCTCTTCCTTAATTCTCATTCTTGGGTTTGGGTGACTCAGTGCTGGTAGGAGCTGTGCAGAGTCACTGCAGTAAAGATTTGGGAAGGATGCTCTAAATCCCAGAAGTTAAACCTACTCTGTGAACCCTTGGTCCCTGGGCATTGCCCCCAGAGAGAGACCCCCAAAACCTGGGCTGAAAACCAAGAGGGGCTTTCCAGAGCGTGCATCCTGGGATATCTAATTTAGCAATTCTGGGGCTCAGAGCTATTTCTCTGGCTTTGTGCTTTTGAGACTTTGTGGTTTGGCAGCTCTAAGGGCTGCGAAGTTCCTGAACAGAGTAAGGAAAGCAAAGCTTTCTGCCCTGGTGCAGGGGACCACGGAGGGCTTCTGTCCCACAGAGGGGTGATGAGTGACTGTGGCTGTCCCTTAAAGACATTGCTGGGGCACCAAATGCAAATTGGTTTGAAAACAGCCTCAGGATGAAAAGTGAAGGAATTCATAGAACCAGAGAGTCATGGAAACACAGAAGGGGTGGAAAGGACCTTAAAGATCATTTCACTCTAACCCCACTGCCATGGGCAGGGACACCTTGCACCAGCCCTGTCCAGCCTGGCCTTGAACACTTCCAGGGATGCACAGAGCAGTGGGTTTCCACAAAATTATATTTGCAGACATCATCCATATCCCCTGGAAGTTCCTCTTTGAGCTGCCCAGATTATTCCTGAGCAGACTGCAAGGTGATTTGCCTCCGTTTGGAATTAACACATCCATGGAGCTGAGTGTGTCCTGAGCCTTGTTTCACTGAGAGAGAAAATGAAAGTCAGGCTGGGGACAAAGGTAAATTGCAAACCAAACGAAAATTAAGTTGAAACCAAATGTATTTTTTCATGGGCACTGTGGTTAGGCTCAAGAAACCTTCTTCTGGTGTCTGCAGGGGAAGGTGAGGAGCCTCTGAGAACCAGAGGTTTCCAACATCTTGGTTTGGTGGCTTCTGAGGAGCTGGGAGAACCAGAAAAACAGAATAAGTTATATGGGATGGGAGACTAATTATTTTGAGATTTGTTAATTAATTACTTAATCTAACCATTTATTCTAGTCTTCAACAAGAGCAGCCTAGGAGAATCCACCAAGATGATGGAGACACAACCAAAAAAGGTTGGCTATTAAATTTGTCACACTCCAAGGGATTTTGTCCCCTGTGAAGCCCTGCCATGACCACAGAGCTGTCTCTGCACCTGGATTTTTCCAGAACTGGTGGCACCAGCCCCATGAAAATCTTGAATCAAGAGCGGAGATTGAATTCATTGAATTAGATGGAGATCAAGATTCACAGAGGAGTGGACAGCTGTACCTGGAGCTTAAAATATTTCCATGGCACTCAACAACCCAGTTTCTACCCCCAATACCCATTTTTTTACATACCAGAGGAGACAGCAGAGAAATGCTTGTAGTAGAAATAAACTCATTTACTATGAGAAATCTGGCTTGTTGGCATGTTACAAAAATAAAAATGTACAGTCACTGTCATAAAACTCACCTATTTTTTTTTTCTCTCTAGTATAAGTTAGTGCTTTTACAAACAAAAACAAAAACAAAAGTCTAGAGCTAGATTTCCAGCTGGTACCACTCCAACCGCGCTGCACTGGCCAGCGGGATCACCTGGGGATGAGGATCACAGAGGGACACCCCTGATGGCACCGGCAGTGCTGCCCAGGGTGGTGGCCAGCTCAGAGGCAGGTGGGATTTCCAAGCAGGACCAGAGGAGGACACTTTTGGTCTGTTTTTGTTGAATTATTCAGAGCACGGAACGTGTCCACGCTGCTTTTTGGCAAGTGTGGGAGACCGGGCAAGGCCTGGCCTGGAGTGATGTTTGTACCAGCTCAGTGCCCTGGCTGAGTTCATTTCTCCCAGCTGTTTGTCTCGCCCCACTGACTGTGCCATGACCCTCACCATCAAGCCAAGCTCCCTTCACAAGAACAAAGGAATAAAGGTGCTGCCATGGTGCAAGTCTGCTCTTAACCCAATCCTATCCCAAACACACTGGAGGGTGGCATGAACCACCCTACAGATGTCCTATTTGCCTTTGCCTCCTTCCTGTGGTTGTGACATTGTTGGCTGGGACAAGAGCTCCCCATTGTGGGTGGGACCACGGGAACTCCCAGTCAGCCCTGAATGGTCCCAGTCACCCGTGGCTGAACACACCTGGTGACATCACAGCGTGGCTTTGTCTCCACCAAACTTCACAAGAAGGAAGGGTGGGAGAAACTAAGGTCTGGGTCTAAGCCAACATCAGTGTTTGCCTAGTCCTGAAACAGAGCTTTTACAAAATGTGACTCGTCCAGTGCTGCAGCTCAAGCAATTTTCATTTTTGGGGGGAGGAATCATTTCTCCTGGCAGGGAAACCATGGATCTGGGCTCTGGGCTCTCCAACCCAACAACCACAGGAAAAAACACCAAGAGCACCTTCTGGTGAAATGTTCTGTGGACATTTTTCACAAATCCAGGCAGAATGGGGTGAAACTCAGCACTACTTGCAGCTCTTCAACTCAGGGCTTAGCGCTGGCAAATTTTGTCACCTCTGAGGGGGGACAGCAACAGGGATGTGCCAGCACTCAGCCAAGGGGATGAAACTGGTCTTTGCTGCTGGGCTGGAAACATGAATCACCAGGAAGGGGATTAAAAAAAATACATGAAGAGCTCACCTTAAATTTTAATGAGCTGTAGATGGTTATTAAAGCCAGCAGCTGGAAGCTGCAGGTTCCTGAAAGCTTTTAAAGGGTGCCTGCTGCTGTTGTGAAGCACTAATGGGTTTTTTGGAAGATGTTGGCCCCACTGGAGAAACCTACAGGGGACCTGCTCGATGGTACCAGTAAACTCCAGTGGGCTGCTACCAGTGCACTCCAGTGGGATGCAATGTCCATCAGGTTAATGGGAAGGCAGCCCTTGGACAGGAGCTGGGAATCCCATCCCTGCTCTGCCACCTTGAAGCTGGGAGAGCATTCCTGCAGGGATTCAAAGCTGTGGGAGACCCTTTCCTGCTGTGGGTGACACTTGTCCTTGACATTTGTAACAAGCTGCTCAGCAGAACTGCAGCTGCCTCTCCTCATCCACCCAAAGCCCTTCCTGCCTTGCCAAGGCACAGAGGAACTGCGGCTCCCCCTGTGCCAGGCAATCTGCAGACGGAATTCTTTAGGGGCACTTTCTGCACACGGCGTTCTTGCTTTGGAAAATGACTCGAGGCACTCAGGGCAGGATTTTTCCCCCCAGATTTGGTCACCTCAGCGTTGATCAGAGGGGCAGGCTGGGTTGCAGAGCCAGGGATCAGGGGTTCATGTGTGCAACCACAGCTGCACCTCCCTGAAAAAAATACAGCAAAACAAGCAGAGGGGCGTGTTTGACACGCTGGAGCAAGCCCAGGCACCCCAAACACCCAAAGCCTCGGGCCCCAGAGCACCCTGTCCTCCCTTCACAGCCAGGATGAACCCTTCTGCTGTGGGGCAGAGCTAGGATTTCAGATCCTTGGAGAGCGTGTCCGTGTCGCTGCTGGTTCCCAGGTGACTGTTGGGCACGATGCCCAGCGCCACCTCATTCTGAGGCTTCCATGGCACCTTGTTGCCCGCAAACTTCATAAATCGTTGCCCCGCTAAGAAATACAAAATGGGATCCAGGCAGCTGTTGGTGCTGGCCAGGGGACGAGTCACCTTGTAGGCCAAATTGATGGCATTGAGGGTCTGGCAGCTCAGGTCCCAGCTCCGGAAGGAGTAGTACAAGGTACGAGTGACGTGGAAAGGAAGAAAACAAACAATGAAGACCACCAGGACGATGATGATCATCTTCACCGACTTCTTTTTGGAGCGGGAGAGGCGGGAAATGCCCCGGGTGGGCTGGAGCAGCCGCCGGGCCATCAGGCAGTAGCAGACGATGATGATGAGGAAGGGGATGCAGAAGAGCAGCACCAGCATCACCGAGCTGTAAATGACAAACTGCCCGAAGAGCTCCTTGCTGGACGTGTCGTGGCAGGTGATGGTGTCGCCCTTGGCGCTGGTGGTGACGAAGAAGAGCACGGGGCACTGGCACGCCACGGTCACCAGCCACACCGCCACCGACACCCTGCGCGCGTGGCGCACGTGGCCCCACTGCAGCGACTTCAGCGGGAAGCAGATGCCCAGGAAGCGATGGATGCTGATGCAGAGCAGGAAGAGGATGCTGCAGTAGAGGTTGGTGTAGAAGAGGAAGCGCACGATCTTGCACAGCCCCACGCTGAAGGGCCAGTTGTCCCCCATGGCGTAGTAGTACACCAGGAGGGGCAGGGACACCACGTAGAGCGTGTCGCTTATGGCCAGGTTGAACATGTAGGTGGTGGAGGCATTCCAGGTCTTGATCCTGAAGATGAAGGCGTAGAGGGCCAGCAGGTTGAGAAAGAGCCCCACCACGCACACGATGCCGTAGGAGACGGGCAGCAGGACGTATTTGAAGTCCTCGTCAAACACGCACTTGTAGGGGTTGTCATCTGTGCCACCTGGGTCCAAGGAGCTGTTGGTGACCCTGGTCCAGGCTGGAGGAGTTGTGAGGGTCTCCATCACCCTGGGGGGAAAGCCAAGAGGCTGTAAGGACATGCAGACAATGGCTCAAGAGGGCAGCACATCACTGGCCACAGGCACCACGGCCTCGTGGTGCTGGTGACACAACTGAGCAGTCCCTGGAATGGAGGAATTGTGGTCAGGTGGATGAGGTGAGTTTTATTTCACCTCATTTTGCATTTGGAGCACAGAGGAAGAACCCAGCTGCTTTAAAGTCACCAACAAACTCCAGGCCACATGTGGGAGTCCACCTCAGAGCTCCTGCAGCCCAGTTCAATGTCCCAAACCACCCTTCCCACCAGGTTCACACAGACATTTGCTCTCCTGCATCACAGAACAGGAAAGATGCTCCACTCTGTGTTTAACCAGCCACAAGGGGTGACTCAGCTGAGCACCATTAAAAATGCATCATGCTAAATTCCAGGCAGAAAAGATTAGAAAGTGGAATTTCAGCAAGCAACCCTCGTGACTGGCCCCCATTTCAGAGGTCTTCAGCTCCTTCTGGTGGGACAAACCTCACCACACCCACAGGTCCTGTAACCAAACCTTGCCAAAAGGAGCGTGGTCTCCACCACGGGGGCTCTGCCTGGCTTGGCTGTTGATGAAGATGAGGGGTCTTTAATGGGTTTAGTGCTGGGCTGACAGTGGTCAGGTCACAATCCTGCTCCCTGGCCTTGAGCCCTGCTTGTGCAGAGCTGGTTTCTGCACGGGACTGATTAGCTGGGAGGAGAAAAATGGCCTTGAAAAGGTCTCTGCAGGCACACAGAGCCTGGCCTGTCTGTGAGGAGGGACAAGGACCCTTTTGTGCCCTGGGCTCTGCTGACACACGATCTCCGAGCGAGCCCATGGGTCAGGAATCAAATTAAAATGCATTTCCTCCCTTCCCGTAAGAGAAGCCGGATTGATGTCCCTGCTGTTCCCTGCCTTACGGGAAGCCTGTGGAAATGGGGGGTTGCAAGGAGACAAATCCAGCCCAGGAGCTCAGGGACCAGCAGCTCCTGCAGGTGAAAAGCTGTGAGGAAAGGTGCCCTTGGAATGAGTGAGTGGGATGTACCCTGACCCAAACCTCACCGGGATTTTAGGGGGAAAAAAGCAATCCCAGCCTTTTCAGGTGAAGGGCTCAGCTCTAACCTGGTGCCACCATGCTGAGGGACAGCATGGCCATGCCCTTTCTTGCAAAATAAACAACAGATCCAGAGCTATCCTGCCCCTACCTCCAACCCAGATCCTGTAGGGAAGGAGGAAAAGACAATCTCCTTGAAGCTGCCAGCCTGGGTGATGTCTCACCAAAATAAAGCACTTTGGTACTGAAAAGCACCTTGACAACTGTTTGCTGAGGGACAAGGGATGAAATGATGCTTCCAGCCCATCACAAGGGGATAACTCCAGTCCTTGCTCCGGGGACTGGATCAAACAACCTGTCCAGAAGTGCACTGACAGCATCCCTGACGATGTTTCCCCCATCCTGCTGCTTTCCCCTTGGAGCAGAGCAGGAACAGGGCTGGCTGAGGCTCACACTTCCCAAGGACAGGGGTGGAAACCACACACACACACCAGATAATCTGCAATATCTGCAAAAACCCCACTACAACTTTGGCAACCACTCTGTGATGAAAATCAGGAGCCAGCAGTGTCCTGGCCTTGGGGTTTTGCTTTTCCTGCGCTCAGCTCAGCTTTGCTCCCATCCTGCTTCCCCCGAGTCCTCAGCAGTGTGGCTGTGGGTGGAGAGGGTTAACAGAGCTCTGGCAGATGGGAAAACATTTTCCAGCTGCTGTTCTCCGCAGTTTCTTCCTTCCCTCTGAGCTTTGCAGCTCTGTGGCCAGGCAGAGAGAGGTTGCCCGCAGAGCTGGCAGCTGATGAAACGGGTTGGACAGGCCACCGTGGCCGAGGGAAGCCACACAAGATGCCCTAAAAGGCTCAGGGAAAGGTTACAGACTTCCAGAGGCTTCAGCCTGGCATGGGATTTCTCCATCTGCTTTCCCTCTCTCGCCTGCACATAACTCAGCACTGATGGGGGGAGATCACCCTGAATTCCAGCTCATCTTCCCTGAGGAAGGCTCCTGGGACCCCAGTGAGAAAACCCAGCCATCTGTAAGCCAAGGTGGGGAATCTCCTCTGGCTGCCCAGGGATGTGCCAAGCCCCTCATCTCCACCTCCAGGACAAGGAGCACGCAGTGTTTGCTGGTTGGTTTGAATGGAGCCTTGTCCTTGCTGTCGTGCTCTCCCTCCTTTTCCTTCTGGGAATGCAAAAGCCTTTATTTTTCCTCTTTTTTTCACCCTAGTTTTGCCCAGAATCCCTGGGACAAAACCTGCTGTGTGTGCCGGGCCCGTGGCTGCAGTCCACCCCGTAGCTGCATCCGCAGGGAGCGAGCTGGAGAGGCCAGGGCCAGCCAAGGCATCGAAGGCACAAGGGCTGGCAGCTGGCACTGCCCTTCGCTGTGCCCACGGGTGGCACCAATGCCAGCTGTGACACCCCGAGCCTCCGGCAGGGACGAGGGGAGGGCCAAGGCAGCCACAATCCCCGAGGATGCCAAGCAGGATAAACACTTCTGTGATCCCCAAAAGCAAAGAAAGTGCAAAAGCAAAAAATGCTTTGGTGAGAATCACCTGCATCTGCCTTGTCACTTCATCTCCCGGCCCTTTCCGAGGTCACAGTGGGAGGTTTTTTCTCTGGCATTGGATGCAGGTGACCAGGCACAGCTTTTTGGGTGCCCTCCAGCCACCCACTCAGAGTTTCCTCCATGCTGAACCACAGGTTGCAGTGGCTGGACCATCCCTGTCTCTGCAGTGTGGCCTTGGACCTGTTTATCCCATGAGCTTTTTCCCACAAAACCTCAGTGCCAGAGGATGAAGGCAGCACAGGAGGGGAGCCTGGTGATGAGAAGACCCTGGGCAGATCACTGCCCTCAAATTAAGCACCCACAGGCATGTGCACGTGAAGTCAGCATCCCAAAATGCTCCTGTAACTGTATCTGCCAGGGATATTTAGACCAGCCAGCATGGGAAAGGAGGGGGCTGTCATGGGAGAAGGTCACGGGCAGCTCAGGCATGGGCAGCACTCCACAGGGAGACCACGGGACGGGCACTGCATTTCCAAGTAAAGGCCTTCACTCCTGATTTCTGCCCCATTTTCCAGCATTCCCAGTGCCGCCCCAGCCGTGTTTCATGCTGGAATTTGCCAGGCAGCAGCGAAGTCACTGAAGACAGCAAAGCACAACCAAATCACGGCTGCGATTAATACGTTTTCACAGGGGGCTGATGAGGTTTAATTGGCCTTCCCAAATAATTAATGTGGATTAATTTCCCAGCAGGACCTCACAGAGGCAGCCCTTGGCTGTGCCACGGCTCCCATTGTTTTATGCTGGAGGCTGAAACCACGATCCCTTCACGGCATCTTCTCCCTGACTCCCTTCCAAAGGACACACGGAGGACGTGGGTGTTTCCCCTGCCCTGGTTCTGAGGCATTTAGTAGGCTCATCAAAATCCTCGCTCAGGACCAGGAACCACTCGAGACTCTGGGAAGCAAACGACCTGGAATCGTTTTTCACTGCTCTGGGGTTGTGGTTCCAGCCCTTTGTGACCAAAAGCAAACAGGCAAGGCGTTCGGGAGCTCCCGAGCCTGCTCGGAGCCGCGAGACAGGATCCGGCCGGAATCTGAGCCTGCCAAACTGCCTGCTGTCCATCTGCCCTTTCCCTTTGGATCCTTCCTGCCACGGTCACCTTCAGAGCCTTTCTCCTCCGGGCTGGCCCCGGCCACCAGTGTGGGCTGAGGACCTTCCCAGCTGTCCCAGCTCCACCATCCCCAGCGTTTCTCTCCGACAATCCCAAGGCAAAAACTCCAAAATTCTTTTCCAGGACAGGCAAGCAGCTTTAAGGAGCTTTATCCATCTCCCTGCCAGACAACATCCCTCCTTTATCCCTGCTGGGTGTGATCTACCCCTTCCTCCATCCCCAACACAGCCGGAACACCTCAATTAAACCAAAACCTTGCAAAGAATCTGTATTTCTGTTCCTACCAAAAAGCACCTTTGGAGGGCAGCTCCACTCCAGAAATGCTGCCTCAGTTTCCCCTCCTGTCAGCAGGCTGAGAAACAGCAGAGTTGAATTTGTTTTCTCCGTGAAAAATATTTTTCTGGGGGTGTTTTGGTTTCCTAGACGGTTTTTCAGTAACTTGATCCAAGCTAAAAAGGGGAGAGAAAGCCTGGAGAAATGACATAACAAGTTTAAAAGAACTTTGGAACTTTGTTTGGAGGTCAAATAAAAGGTTTTGCTTTGAGAGAAATCGCGTCTTCTGGGAATTTCTGTTTTCCCCCAAGAAACTCCCTGAATCAATCTTCCTTCCAGCTTTTGCTTCTCTGGGGGTACCAAAACCTCCTGCCTTGCTCCACACCATGGGAAATCAGTCGGGATTAACCAAACGTGTGGCTTTAAAGTGAATTAAGAAAGAATTAAAACCATCAGTGACAACGGTAATCAAGGCCACCTTCATTCAGTTGAACCTGACTCAATTCCCAGCACGGCAGGGCTCTGGGGATGGATCCTTCTGGAAGCAAACATCAACCCTGGCCAATATTTAATCCCTCCATCAACACTTCCCTTCCTGCTTCAGCAAAGTTGATGCTCCCTGCCTGTTTTTCCCTGCTGTGGGATAGGGGCAGATCCTATTTGAGCCCTCAGACTTCCAGTTTTAATTATTCCATGGGGGAAACCGAGCACTTGGATCCTTTAGGCTTCCTGGAGGTACAAGGAGGCATTTCTGTCCGGAGTTTGACTTTGCTTTTGCCCTCCATGACCTTTTGATGCCCACTGGAGGCAGGAACAGTCAGAGAGAAGAGTGTGGGACCAGTTTCTGGCCCATTTGGTAACCCTACAAGCTCCGTATGTGGGAGAAAGGACATTTCCATGGAGACCTCCCAGCCTCCTGCCCACACCAAGGGAGTCACAACCACCCTGGAAAAACCAAAGGCAGTCAGGGGGACAACCAGGATAACACAATTACCGGGCTCCACCGCCAGAAAACCCCACAGGGGGAGGACTTTGGGGGATAAATTTTTTTGCTCCACAGGCAGCATCCCGTGGAGGCAACAGGGGCTTTGCTCCATGGGTGGTTCCCAGTCAGGTTTTTAGTGGGGGCTGCTCAGCACTGGGGAGGGAGCCCGGCAGCACGCTCGGCTGCCAGAGAACTATTCGTGGCTTTGGCTTCGTGTCAACAACCCGAGATAAAAATCGCACTGGGCAGAGACAGGATAAAGTCACTCAGTGCCACGACCGTCAGAAATCCTTCTGGAGCTTTTATAACCCACTAAGCCCGGGGATGTGGCTGTGCTTCGGGGCTCAGAGCATTTTGGGGTCTCTCCCTTTGCACTGGAGCCCCTTAACCTATCAGCCACCCGTTGCTTGAGGGAAAACAAGAGGAATTTGGTGGTCATGAAACAGCCAATTTTGGCAGCAGTGATCACAAGCTAGGGCCACCATCCCCCAGTGCTGGTGGCCCCCCAGAGCTGGGTTTGCTGCTCCTCACCTCGTGTACAGGAAGGCAGTGGGTTGCCAAATGGCTTTTGCAATAAACTGATAAGAAAAACTGGAACAGAAGGAGAAATGAGATGTTTTGCCCCTAAAGTTGTTCCTGCAGTGATGTCAGCCAGTGCCCAGCCCAGGGAAGAAGAGTGCTTTGGGTGTTAGGAGGTGCTAGAAGGAGTCAAAAAGTTTGAAATGAGAGTATCGCCATTGCAGTGTAAATTAAAACACTCCCAAAGAAATTACACAGGGAGCCCAACATGCAAAGAGGTGGAAAAACACGCGCAGCAGAGCAGGGAGTCAGCTCCATGGTTTAACCTGAGCTGCGTGCAGGAAATCACAGACCAACAGCGAGGGAACTCCCCAGGGAAGGGAGAAACCGAGCAGCAAAGACATTATTGTGAATTAAGGCATTAAATACCCAACAATTCAGGCGAAGAGGAGCAAAAGGAGCAGGAGGCTTCCCTGCCTGCCCAGCCTGAACCATTTGTGCCAGCACCCTCCCATGCCAGCGACTCCCGGCCGGCTGCGGGTGCCACTGCCCCGTCTTGGGGCACTTCGGGGCTTTTTAGCGGCAGCATGCGGCAGAGAGGGGGACAGCAGGAGCGTCGGGCTTCGGCTCTGTCCGCGCAGTGCCCCACTCCCTGCTCTGGGTGCGCGGGGACGCTGTGTCACCCGTGTCACCCAGACAGCAACAAGTGCCACCACCAGCTCCGCGAGTACGTGCGTGTGTCTGTGTGTCCGTCCGTGCGTTCGGGGCTGTCTGTGTGTCCCGCCCGTGTGTGTCCCACCCGTGCGTGTCCCCCATCCATGTGTGTGCGTGTCCCCTCCACCCCGTGCGTGTCCCCACTCCCACCTTTCTTGTCGTGAGCAGGACACGCACCCCCACATCCCCCCATGATCCATGATCCCCCCCATGTCCCCTCCATGTCTCCCCGTGGTCCCCGCTCGCTGCGGCCGCGCTCACCGGGCGATGCCGAGCCTGGGGCTCCGTGCCGGGGGTCGTGCCGGGGGTTCAGCGCCGATCGCCCCGCTCAGGAGGCCGTGCCATGCCCGGCTTCGTTCCTTCCCCCACTCCCGGTGCCGCTCCGGTGCCGCCGCCGCGTGTGAGCCGGGCCGGGGCGGGCGCGGGGCTGCACCGCCCTCCCGGCGCTGGGAACGGGGCTGGAACGGGGCAGGACCGGGGCCAGAGCTGCCCCGCCCGGGAACGGGACCGCCCCTTCCCCCGGGGACGGGACGGGAGCTCTCCTCCCTGGACGGGAACGTGCGTGGGATCGCGCTGGGGTCGGGACAGGAGTGCGGCCGCCCCCTCTGTTTCTCCCTCCGGGGTGGCACTGTGGATGGGATCGGGATTAGGGCTAGGGCAGGATCCCCCCATACTTCCTCTCCTGGAGGTGGGAGTATGGATGGGATTGGGGCTGGGCACTGACCGCTCTGCCCTTTCTCCCCTGGGAATGGGACCGGGATTAGGGCTGGGACAGGAGACCTCCCCCACCCTGCAGAAGTGGGAGCATGGATGGCATCAGAATTGGGACTGACATTGCAGACAGGTGATTGCTCCCCGAATCCTCCTCCGGGGATGGGGCCGGAGTTAGGACAAGGACAGGACCCCTGCCACCTCTCTGCCCCTGGAATGGGACCATGGAGGGACTGGAGCTGGGACTGAGACCAGACTCACTTCCAGGGCTGCTGGGACCAAGACTGATGGCAGAACTGGGATGTTGGGACTTTTCATCATTGGTGGATCCAGGAGGACACAGCTGAAGGTTTGCTGGAGGTTTGCTCCTTGCTGTATCCCTTTGCCCTGCTGTCCCCACAGAGGACACAGCCTCCCGGGAAGCTGAGCAGGGCAAAGCAGCATCTTCACACCCTGCCCTCTCCCACAGGTGGCTGCTGCCCTGGGGAAGCAGCGGCCAGGTCCAGCCCAACCTTCCTCCTTCACCTGGGTGAGAAACCTTGGGATTTGTGGGGCTGGAGGAACAGGCACAGCCCCACGGGACCACGTGCAGGTGGCCCAGTTGTTTTCCACCGCCGCGAGCCCCGGTGTTCCCCCGAGTATTCCCCATCTGTGTCCCTGGGTGACAGCCAGATCCTCCTTCCCCAGCTGGAGCTGATTTCATCTGGGGGTCCCTGGGCCTCCTGGCTGTGGCTGGGGGGCCATGAAGCCCCTGATGGAGGAGGGGAAGGACACCAATGGCATCTATTATTCAACAGCAGAAAGTGGCAGCTGGCTAAGGAGGCATTTAGAGGATATGAACTCCTGGCATGGACACAGTGCTGCAGAGATTTTGCTCACGGACCTCCATGCCAGAAAAGAGCAAAAAAATATATTCCTGTTTCCTTCTTCTGATGTAATTTGTTTGAGGAGGGAAAACAATACATCACATCACAGCTATTTGGGGCTGATAAGGGAGGAAGGACAGGCTTGCTGCTTGCCCAGAGCTGCTGAGTGAGGCTCAGCTGGGTGAAGCTGCTCACCCTGGGTGCTGAGTCCAGCCCATCCCTCCTGGATTTGGAAGCACTTCTTGGGCAAATGTTGGGTTCACAGCACCTTGGTTTCATCCTCCAAATCCTTCACCCTCCCAAGGAGGGATGACGTGCAGAGGTGATGGATGATGTCCAGGGAGTTGTGGCTGTCCTTGCAGGAGCTGTGACCCCATCAGCAGCCCTTGCCTGGCACCATCTCCCCCAGCCTGGTCCTCCAAGGTCGGAACACCTGCACTCTTCCTCTGCAGGATAAAGCCAAACAACTAAAAACCAAGAGGCAGGCGCCTTCCTCATCTCCAGGGGTGATTAATTGTGGCCAGGCCGGCTGCGAGGGCTGCTTGGCAGCTCGGTGCCTCAGCAGGCCAGAGGAGATGTTTTTCTAAAAGCTTCTTTGGAGTGGGGAAGTGTCCCCTGGAGAGCCCTCTTCCCATCAGACCTTTCCCAAGCCTGGTTGACGTCCCAGCAGCTTCCAGCAAGCAGGAGCTTCCCATCTTCACTGCTGGAAAAACCTTTCCTTGCCCTTCTTTTGCCTTTTCTCCTCTGGTTTGGGTGTGAGGGAGATGGAAGGAGGTGTGAGGAAGGTTAGGGTCTCAACCCTAACCCGCCTTGCTCATTTCTGTCCTGCACCTATCACCCGGGGCACCCAAAACCAGAGCCTCCCTCGCCCCAAATCTCCACTTCCCAGCTCCACAGCAGCCCAAGGAGGAGGCAGATGTTTTAAATCCTGTTGAAAAGCCAGTGATTTGTGCAGCTGCAGTGCAGAAGACAGAGGCAATACCCAGCGAGCCGGCCTGGAAAGCAAACCCACGTTTCCCTTCACCGCTTCATTTTTCAACCATTCTGGCAGCCCGGCAGGTTTCTAAGACACTTTCAAAACATTCCCGTGTTGACTAGCAGGCAGGAATGTGATACAGGAATGGGTGGACCGGGAAGGTCAGGCTGGCCACAGCAGAGCCTGCGCTGCACCCATGGGTGCAGCTCACACACACAGGGACACCGGCAGGGGTGCTGGAGACAAGCTGCCATGTATCAAATCTCTCTTTTTTGCCCTTTATTTTGTTTTTAAAACCTTAGGTGCAGCAAGTAAGTCAGTTTGGGTGTGTTGGGCTGAGCCTGCAGCCCTGCCCTGTGTGACTGGGCTTGCAGGAGGGACAGCCCATGGGAGCAGATGTGACTTTGCAGCTTCCCAGGATGCCTGGATTCTCCCTCCAGGATGTTCAGGACCACCATCAGCTTTCAAGGGGCGGGAAAAGCCAAGGCAGCTGGAGAAGGAAACCTGTGCTCATGGTGCCCTTGGGGTGTGCTGGAGATGAGGTCAGGTGGGGCTGGAGAGAGACACGGGAGCACCTTCCCAGCAGCCAAACAGGGTGGGTTGGTTGCAGGTGGGAGCTGGGGCTGGAAAACACAGAGTCCTGGAATTATCAGGGTTGGAAAAGCCCTCTAGGATCATGGAGTCCAACTGTTAACCCAGCACTGCTGTGTTCACCCCTAAACCACGTCCCCAAGTGCCAATCCACATGCTTGAGCAGTTCCAGGGACTGTGACTCCACCAGTTCCCTGTTCCAATGCCTGACCACCCTTTCAGTCAAGGAACCTTTCTGAATATCCACTCTAAACCTGCCCAGTGTAACCTGAGATCTGGACCAGGAGCCAGTCCCTCTCTGTCCATCCCTCATCCTCGCAGCTCTGGGGGAGCCCTCTGGGGCTGCAGCACCCAGGAGGTGGTGCTGGCTGGGTGCTGGGCACAGGGAGACACTTTCCTCCCCTTTCCACCCTTTTCCTACTAATCCCTTGAACAGGAACTGACCAATGGACCCAGACAGGGCGCAGGGGACCTTTGCTGTCTCCGTGGGGAAGAGGGATTTGGAGAAGACCCGAGATGTGGGGCCCTCTGGGGTAAGCAGCTGCAGGCAGCGAGCCTTGAGCCCATTTCTTCAGTGCAGGGAGGGCTTTGCTCTGTGGCTGTGGCCATCTGGGTGTGGATTTTCTCTTCTCCACCAGCGGTTGGGGATTTTTATTTTAGCCCAGCTTTCGTTTCCTCCCCACTGAGCACGTGTGATGTCCCTCCCCTCCTCCTCCTCACCATCAGGAGGGTGATGGAGGTGCCACTCACTTTTCCTCCCAGCTCCTGCATAACCCAGGTTTTTTGGAGGGGTTTTCAGACTCCAAGAGCATTTCCCCCCCTGAGGATGATGCTTGCAAAGAGGGGTAGGGATACTGCCCCGACCCCCCAGGCAGCAGGAGCTGCCTGCCAGGCCCTAAACACAAGCATCCTGTTGTGGCCAAAAGTGTTTGTGCTTTTAGAAAGACCACAAATAAATAAACCACCTCACACCAGGGCAGGTGTGTTAAAATAAACCCATAGGCTTGGGCTGTGTGTGCTGTGGGTTCCCAGATTTGGTTCTGCTCTGCAACATGTGCAGGGAGAGAGAGGGGGGGGGTGGGGTTCACAAAAAAATCACAAAACTCAACGAGGACAGCTCTGGCAGGGTCATTCCTGCTTCTGCTGGCCCCATTGATGGCTTTCTTAGGAGCAGAGATGCTGAGTTTTCTGCCAGATTTCATGACACTTCCTCTTCCTCTGGGACTGCCTCGAAAATAGTAAATAAGACAGATTTATTTAAAAAAAAAGCCAACAAACTCATTCAAGGTTTTTTTCAAGAGGGTTTGAGCAAGTTGCCAACAGCAGGAGCTGCTGGAAGAGGTGTCCTGGAGGACAGAACTTGGTGCTGGAGGAGGTTTTGCACTGATCCTGGCATTCAATAACACAAATAAACACGTCCTCAAACCAAATTCTCCTAAAACCAGCAGCAGAGATGCATCCACGTAATGGTCCCAGCCTAAAATAGTGCTGGGGGCTCCTGAAAAAGGCTCCTTTCTCTTCATTTCTCTATTTGCAGAGCTGCTGAGGAGCTGTGCAGGAGTGGCCCCTGCTGTGCCTGGGCCCCTGGCAGCAGCTTGGGATTCAGTGGGCATGGGCAGTTGGATTGTGGGGTCCAATCATCCCCAAATTTTGTGGCTGACCCACCAGCAGCTCGGCCTGGGGGTCAAACAGAGCCTGGCACCAGGATGGATTAACTCCAGCTGGAGCTTGGTTCAAGGCATGGACTGGCAGGGCCCCCGTGGCACCCCTTGTCTCCCATTTTTCACCTGATCCTCGTGAAATCCACAGCAAAGAAAAGCCCCAGAGAGGCTCAGGAGCAAGCTCCCATTGGTGCTGGAGAAGAAGCCATTTCCCAGTAGTTTTGTTGGTCATTATTTTTGCTCTCAGCTCCCAGCAGTGAGACCATGGAGAGCAGCACGAGGTCCCACCCTGGAACCTCTTTGTTTAAAAAAAACAAAACACAAACTTGTTCTCACTGCGGGACTTTTGAAATCACTTCCTTCCCCTTCTGCTCCACAACAACCTTTGTGTCCTCAGGGAGATTCCCCCAGAGACACCCCCAGGGATGGCCCTGGACCCCAGAAAGCCGCTGCTCCCTGGGGGTGCCACACAAGGGGGGTGATCCTTATCTAGCTCAGCCCAGGAAACAGGAGGTTTGCTCAGCCACAGTGAGTCCAGCCCCTGCCTGGAGCCCCCTTGGAGATGTCCCTCTAAATTGCATTCAGATAAATTTTATTTGAGATTCACTTCAAATGAGCCCAAGCTGATCATGGGGGGGTTTGAGGGATGGGTGGGGATGGGGAGGGCACCATTACAACTTCCCAGTGTCCCAGAAAACCTCCTGGGTGACCCATCCTGCTGCCTGCCCTTTGGGAGATGTCCTCCTACACTCAGGTCATCCTTTAGCAGCTTCCCCATGGATACAAAACCTGCTGGAAGAAAACCAGCGTTAGATCTGCTTTGACTGTCAATAAAAATAGTGAATCATAGAGGCTGGAAAAGTCCTTAAAGATCATCAGGTACAACCATTCCTCAGCACTGCCAAGGCCACCACTGCCCCATGTCCCCAAGTGCCACATCCACTCGGCTTTAAATCCCTCCAGGGATGGGAACTCCAGCACTGCCTTGGGCAGGAAAACCTCCCTGCAGAGGATGGATGCAATTCAGCTTCTCCATTTTAAAACCCCCTCCATCATAATTTATTCTAAAATCGCATTTTCCAGTATTTTTTTATCATTTAACACACCAATTAAACCCAAATTGGGCTGAGGAGTGCAGAGTTCTGTGCCAACCCCTGCTTTCCTGGCTGGAGCAAAGGTGGGAAATTGTGTCCACCTGGATTTGCCCCAGCCCAAAAAGAGAGCCCATCCCTGAGGCTCGTTCCCAGCTGGAGTCCTTGTCAGGAGGCCAATATTGTTATCTAGGGCCTGGCTGGTGTTTCTCCTTTGGCCCTTTGCCACTGCAGTTAAAATATCTCTCCCACCACTCCCAGCATGTAAAGGTCACGTTCCAGAGATTAATCCGGAGTCTCCCAGGCCGCCTCCTTGGCTCGGGATCCCTGCTGGGACAGACAGCCTCGGGATGCTGGGCGTGCACTCCCAGGGCTGGAGATCCCCTGGCCAGGAGTGGGCCTGTCACCAGCACCAGCTCCAAGGTCCCCAGGAGCTGCACATGGAGCTATGGACAATTCTGAACTAACCAGAAGCCAGTTCCCCCATCTCAAACGGTTAACTCCATGCAAATCTGCTCCCAGCCCTCAGCCAAGCAGTCCTGGGAAGTCCAAGTTTGCAAAACAAGCTTTGGAGGCATCCAAAGTTTGTTTGACAGGTCTTACAGCTGGTCCTGCACTTGGTTTTTGTCCAAACAAGTCCTGGAATGATAAGAAAGGGTTTCCAAGTTAAATACGAGAGGAGAGTGATGGAGTGCTTAATGAAATCAGAGAGACTCTCTCTAAATGAA